CATGCACTTAATTCTTATGCACTTTCAGGTTTTCTTGAAGAACCCAATTTGTTCTGGCCAAAATAACACTGCAGGTTCTGAAGTCTGAATACACCAGGGATGGGCAACTATTTCAGTTGGAGGACTGCTTAATGAGTTTTGGTGAGCTCTCAAGGGCTGCATGGTTAAGCCCTACTCCCTGACAGCTGCCCTGCCCCCCCAGTTGCTATCTTGGGAAGTCCCACCCCTAACCCTGGACCTTTGCCACCAGAAATTCCTCCCCCTGTCCTTGGGGGAAGGGTGGGGGGTTGCCATCTTGAAACTGGAAAAAAAAAACAAATCATATACTAACAACATCAAACATCTACTACAACTGATTTTAATTTTATTTTTAAAAATATTTTTGTCCTGAATTATGTAGTGTATCTAGAGGTGATTGCATAATAGCTCCAAATAAACTCTTACTTTTGTATACTGTGTGTGGGGAAGTAAGAGGGTATATGTGGGGGCTGTATGGTTGGTGAGTGGGTGTGAGGGTGTGGGTATGGTGAGTGGGTTATGTGGGGGATGGTGGGGGTAGGGAGTGTGGTTGGGGTAGGGGCAGGTGGGAGTGTGTATGTAAGCTGTGGGAGAGTGTGGATGTGTTCTGGGGTATGCTGGGGGTGGGGTGTGTGGGAGGGTCTCGGTGTGTGTCGATATGGTCAGGGGTGTTGGAGTGTAGGTGGATGTGTGCGGGTGGGTTTATGGTGGGGGAGTGTGGGACTGTGTGTGGGGACTGTGGTGGGTGTGGGTGTGTGTTGGAGGTATGGTGGGAGGTAGGGAGCCAGCCCTGCCTGTCCCTTCCAGGCTGCAGCATGCAGTTCTAGGCTGCAAGGCTGGGATCCATATGGCACAGCATGGAGCCAGCCTGGCCTGGCACAATGCGGTTCCAGTTGCAAGGCTGCAGACTATCATGTGGCATAGAGCCAGCCTGGCCCATCCCAGCTGTGGTGCACAGTTTCCAGCTGCAAGGTCGGGACCCATGTGGCACAGCACGGCACAGGGTCAGCCTGGCTTGGCTCATCCCCTCCATGCTGTGCCATGCAGGTCTCAATCTTGCAGCGAGGAACTGCACACTGCAGCCAGGATGAGCCAAGCTGGGCTGGCTCCATGCCATGCTGTGCATTCTCTGGCCTTGCAGCCAGCCCCACCCATCCTGTCCTGGCTGCAGCACACAGTTCCTAGCTGCAAGGGTAGGGATCATATACCGCAGCACAGAGCTGGCCCAGCCTGTCTTGGCAGCATGCGGTTCCCCGCTGAAAGGCTGGGACCTAAGCGCTGCAGCGTGGAGCCACCCAGCCCATCCCATCCTGTCCTGGCAGCACGTGGTTCCCTACTGCAAGACTGGGACCCAAGTGGCATGGTATGGAGGGGCCAAGCTGGGCTGGGTCTGTGCTGTGCAGGCTTCGTGCCGTGCTATGTGGGTCCCAGCCTTGCAGCAGGAAACCATGTGCTGCCGGGCTGGTGCTGGGCCATATGGTTCCTGGCCTTGCAGAATGGGACAGAATGGGGGGGCTGGTTCCCCACCTCCCACCATACCCCAACACACATCCACACCCCCCCACAGCTCCCACACATACTCCCACCCTCCTACCATAACCCCACACAATCCTACAATCTCCCATTATAACACCACATTGCCAGTGGTCTCTCCTATCCCCACCTCACCCCATCCCCCATTCTTACCTGAATTTCAACTCTCAAATGAGGTAGGGCTGGGGAACAGCCACAGGGTTGCCAGGGCAGAAGGCTCTGCTAGCCAGAAACTTCCGGTCTTCAGAAGCTTCTGGGGGGTAGGGGTGGAGTGGGGCGGGTCAGATTGGGGTTGGGTTGGTTGCAATGCAACCAGAGACCAAGCTGCTTGCTGCCACAACCAGAGACTTGTGCTGCCAGTGCCTTGTTGGCTTTTGAACAGGTAGCCACTGGCAGGTAATAACTGTCTAACTTTTAGAGGGGTCCTGTGGACTGGATAGACTGGCCTGGCAAGCCAGATCCAGCCCACAGGCTGTATTTTGCCTGCCCCTGGAATACACTATGGTGGATCCAGCAGATGGAGCGCAAGACTTTTCAGTGGGATCACACAGATTCCAAGAGGGTGTGCTGAGGCTATGAAATGTCTGGGTGACAGAGATGGAGTCAGAAATAGTATTAAAGGGGGTTGGAGATGGAAGGGAACTGCGAAAGGAAAACTAGGTAGGTTTTAGGATCTGGTGTAGAGAACAGAGAAGGAAATGAGAAAGTTTGGATGCCAAAGAGTGAGGAAAGAGAAGACATCAGAAGTTTCAAATAGTTTGGATAAACTACTGATCAACATCTAAACACTTTGGAAAGGCTCAGCTCAATAAATATTTTAGGTTGCCCTTATAGTCAGAAAAATCCTGAAACTTTCAAATAAAACTGTAACTTTCAAATAATCCTGAAACTTTCAAATAAAACTGTAAAAACAGAGAGGTGTGAATTTCAACAATTAAATAAATCACTTTATTGAATTAAGTGGGAGAGCTATATTTAAAATGGTCAAGTGTTCACTATTCAGTTTAGTTATTTACTGATGATTAGCACTTTCATAAGAACCCTATCACTGAAACAGACCTTTGGATCAATGTAACATGTATTTCCCTGATTGTTAGTAAGGGTTTGAGCAAATCATCACAAAGGGTTGGATGACTCTCATGGAGTTCCAGGTTTTACTGATCACTCCAAATATTTCTGGAGTTTAAAAAGTTCTCAAGACTAGGGTAAATTCTCAAATCTCTTTATACTTGTAATTTAAAACCAAAAGGATCTTTCAGTTAAAACAAAATAAAGAACATTTTTTTTAGGTATAGGGAAAACTGTGAGATTTAAGAATCTTCCCTAAAATCAAGCTGCTGCAAATGGGTAGCCAATTTAATCTATTTCTTTTTGCCATTACTATTTCTCTTTCTCCCCTCCATTTATATTTCACTTTTTCTTGTAAATGAAATCCAACCTAAGCAGCATTTGGATTTGTTCTGAACTTTCAAACCCAGAATATTTAAATAGGTTAAAGTGTGCAAAACTAGTTTACCTATTCACTAGTCTTCCTGGATTTCATGTTTTCAACAGCAAAGTGTCCCTGAATGCTCACCTCCTGGTATCTCTTGCCAAGTTGCATTGAATCCCTTTCCATTCACATATCTGTCTGTCTTGAATCGGATTGCAACGGCATTGCCAGTACTAGAGACTTGTAGTGGGTTCTGTGCTGATCTTGACACACACAGCTGGGCCAGTCTAGGAGCCCAAAAATCTGGCCCACCATAGATCTGGAAACAGAAGAAAAAGTGACAACAAAATCCACTTGAAGACACAGTTCATGTAACAATATAGATCAGAACCAACTGCCCTGATGACACAGCTTAATATTCTTATTACTCAAAACATGTATTGCAGTCATTCAGGATGAATTAAAAACTCTTTAGCCCTAATTTTTTTATTCATGTCTCCAAATTTGCAAACATACACAGCACTGTAGTCTGCTCCAAGAGACCATCCATGAAAGTTTACTTCTCTGAACTACCCATATTCAGGATGTTTATTGTATAAATAGAAGTTCTACAAATGGCATTAAGTATTGGTAGAAAAAAAATCAACAGGGTTATTTTAACATGAACCACAAAACAGGATTTTTTCCCCAAAGTTCATGCGATGTCTGTGGGAAGCACTAAAACACTGATCCACACTGACTATGAGTAAATTCAAGATTCTAGGTAAACTTTTGGCCTGGCTCTTGCATAAAGTAAGAACCCTTACCTTCTTTGTCCTGCATACTCTCCCCAAAACTGCAAAACTGGCACCTGCAGGCAAGGGTACCAGGCTGCAACCCCACCAGGAGACTAGCCATACAGCTGCTCCAGCTCAGCCTGGGCCCTCCTATGAGGTTCTCCCATTTCCTGCAGGAACTTGTCCCTGCAACAATACTCCCAGTGTCCCAGCTATGGACCTCCTTGCCTGGCTTCTGTATTCTTGCTAATGTTTTAGACCTCCTGGCTCTGAACCCCTGCCTTGCCTCTGTTTTGAACCCTCCTGCCTGCTCCAGCCTTGTTCCTGCCTTGGAACCTTACCCCTGCTTACCCTATCTTCTGCACTGTGTTCTCCAGTTCCTGACCTCTGGCCTGGCTTTGACTACAGACCCATCTGACCCCAGATGAAATACGCTAAGCTTGCACTGGACCCCCAAGCTTTGGCCTCTGGAATTAGAATATTGTTGATCCTCGGCTTCTGAACCTGGTCCCCAACATCTGAGCTGTACCTGTGACACTGATACAGTATTTTAATATTCTGGTGAAGCTCAAAAGGTTCACAAAAGCAACAGGTCAACATTTTAATGAACTGATACAGAACCTCACAAAAAGTCTGTGGTCTATCTTGAGTGCTGTACAAAAAATCAAATAATTTTAAACTATGAACCAATTCCATCCCCAAGCTTAACATATGTTCAATACAACTTTCCAAGGGTTAAGATTTGCTGTTCAAAGCAGGTTGCCCCACCCTGCAATTCTATAAAGGTTGTGGAGGAAACAACACTATTCCCTTTTTTCCAGGGAAAACAGTCAGTGGAAATGACAGAAAAGCATCTGAAACACTCTAACTCCAGTCCAGAGTGAGTAAGGAATAAGCAGTATTTCAAAGATGGTCTCTAAGAATGTCCAGTACCCTGAATAGTCATAGAATCAGAGAGAAGAAGGGCTAGAAGAGACTTCCAGGGATCATCTAGTCCAACCCCATGTGAGACAGGTTCATCAATATAAATTAAGTACAAGCTACATAAGACTATGGTGAACCTTGATGCATCACAGACATAACACCCTAACCTGACAGCTAAAGCAAGGGAACCATGGCCGCCAATGTCCTGCATCTATAAAAGGTTGTCAATATATTCTCAGCAAAGCCCAGAAGCATGAAAAGTACCTGTAGTAGAACATAGGTATAGCTACACCTAAATTATCCATGACCAGTGCCTGTCTACCTTCTTTTTGAACATCTCCGGTGATGGAGAGTCCACAACTTCCCTCAGCAGTCTATTCCACTGCCTCGCTATTCTAACCGTAAAGAAGTTTTTCCTGATATCCAGTCTAAACCTACTTTGTTGCAACTTCAAGCCATTGGCCTATGTCCTACTCTCTGCAGCAAGAGCCCCATGATTGGGGACTACTTATCTGATGCAGGCATGGCAGTGAAAAGCAGGAAACTTCTGGAGGAGTAGCCCATGCTATTCATCAGCCAGTTACCTGTGCAGCTTGGGCCGGTGCGGGGAGATGATGTCAGCCAAAAGCACAGACAGTCACCTTTAAAAGCTGGCTGCTGAGCAGAAGCCAGAAGGCAACAGCCTGGAGGCAGCTGTGTGCTCCTGGCCGGTGCAGCCAGAGTAGCTTCAAGCCAGGGACACTAAGCCGAGTCGTGAAGAGGGGTGTTCCTTCCAGAAGACTGATGCTAAGTGCTAGACAAAGGAAGGATGCTGAGGGAATAATTCTGTACCTACATGCAGTAAGGAGAAGAGGCTTCTCCCTCCCTGATTCATTGTTCTTTTTCCTTTTCGTAATTTTGCATTGCCCCTGGAGCTGAACACTGTGACCATATTGATGGGCATTAATCCCAGGGCTGAAGAACCAGGGAGCCTCAGGGACTTCAGGTAGGAGAACGGGTTGACCCGTCCAACCTAAGAAGTCCAGCCACAAGGAGTGGGAAGCATTCTCCTGTATCTGCTGTGCACTTTAGAAGCAGAACACCATAGGAGGAGCCATCGTCCTACAACCAGTGTGCACTCAGCTGTTCTGCCTATTAGAATCCATTCAAGGCCTGATTGGGGCTACACCACACACATGGGCATCCAGAAAAAGCTCAAGCCATTTGACATATGGCCAAGTCCATCAGGTTCATCCACCTTATCTTCCTGATTTGGTGGCCGATAATAAATCTCCACCATTATATTGCTGCTGCATCTTTCACCTTTCATCATCACCCAAATGAATTCTGCTTTGCTGGCTTCTTCCTTCTGAACCAGGGAACAAGTATATGTGTTTTTGACATACAAGGCAACACCACCACTTTTTTCCCCAACCCTGTCCTTCCAAAACAGAGTGTAACCCTCAGTGTTGACATTCTCATTATAACAGCTGTCCCACCAGGTTTCTATGATGCCAATCACATCATAGCTCTTTTCACAAGCTGTAGCTTCCAACCCATCTTGTTTATTCCCCTTCCTTCTTGCATTTGTATATATGCATTAGATGGAATTTGCATTTTGACTTCTTTGCTTCCCTTTTGCATCACTTGTTGCACTCCTCTAGCTCTCTGGTCCTTTCCCAGAGTTACGCTGCCTCTGACTCCTTTGCTTTCTGGACTGTGTGCTCTGTTGTTGAAGCGTTTTGATTACCATCCTTGTGGAACCTAGTTTAAAGCCATCCTTACCAAGTTGGCCAGATGACACTCAAGCTGATCTTTCCTGTTTTCTTTAATTCTAGATAGGAAGAGACTTTTTTGGCTTGTGATGAGAAGAAGCCTGACTTGAATTTATAATAGCCTCTCTGTCCCATCCATTATCTCAAGGCATTCTGGAGAAGCCAGAATGAATGAGACTGCTGTTAGATGAAAGCTTAGAGCAGCAACAGTGCTGGAAAAAAGCATGTGTTTGTGCTTGAAGCTCAATGTCATCAGCAAAATCTTACTACTCGGCTGCTTGTGGGGCCCAAGTAGTCCAACATCTGTCAGAAGTCTGTTCAAAGTGGGAACTTTTTTTCCTTTTATTTGTTGTATTTTTTCCTGCGTCAGAGCCCTAGCAAGTATACAGCCAGGAACATGTGTTCTTAATCATCTAAAATTGTGCAGTAATGGTATTTAGCAAGAAAACTGAGCAAAATTATTTCACCATAATGAAAATAATGTATAGACAGATAGGTTTTTAAAATATTCCCATTGTGTTTCTGCTTCCCTGAGGCCTTCCTTTTGCCACAGACAAAATGAACCAAAGTCATCTATTGCTTTTTAGGGTATTAGAGCAGAGATAGATGAAGGTGGCCCATCTTGAACAACTATACATATTGTTGGGCACAACAAACGAGGAAAGTAAGGGGAAGAAAATGTTGGTGAAGACTTCATGGGTTTTCTCCATATTATTAGCCTGTTTTGCAACAGCCTTTTGTACAATTTCAAAATCAAAAGGGAGAGTGAAAACCATGCCATTGTGTTACTTTATTACCGCTAGGAATGGATTTCCTTTTCTCTTTTATGCCAGCTCAGCTAATCAGATGCTTCACAAGAAATGGAGCTAAAACAAGCCAGAGTGTTTCCATAACAAAAAAACCACAATAAAATGCTACTTTTGGCTACAATGAAAACCAAATCTCATAAGAAAAAGAAAAAAAGCTAGGGGTGGAAAACATTTCAGGGTGTGGTCCACACAGACCTACACTTTGTCTAAGCTGCAGAAAGATAAAAATAAAATAGAAAAATCTGATTGGAGCACCTGATTCAGAGACAAAATATGTTTTTGATTGAATGGCTGCGGGTGCAGGGCATTTCAATAAAGCCAGTGGTTTTAGTCTGTTTTTATCATTTGTTTCTGCCCCGTTAGCTCCATTTATTGTTACAATCAAGTCAGCATTCCAGAGTTATGAGCAACAGACGGCTGTTTTTATGTGGCTGACCATCATCATGACACAGTTCTGGGAATAAAGCTGGCCCTGGTTAGATATAACTGCTTGCTCAGAGGTGCTTTGATAGAGAGACAAAAGTTTAAGTATAATACTTAATGGTATTAAGATCTAACAAAATATCTCTTTATATTTGCATGGAAGGAAGGGGTACATGCAGGGGCAGATCTAGGGGAGGTAGAGTGGTGCATTTGCACCCCAGTTTGATACCCACTCCACCCAAAATTTAAAACCAACTGCTTAGGAGGGGCAACAGCATTTTTATTCGGGTAGTACTGAGTCAACTAACTTTATGGCTCATTCTCATTTCCCTTATTCCTGCTAATCTCTCTCTACTCTACAGGTTTTAATGATCCTTTCTCCTTTTTGCTGCCTGTTAGCCACTCCCTTGTATTTCACAACTCTGCAGAATCTTTTTAGCTCTAGCTGAAAACTTTAACTCAAATGTGGTAATATTAACTCAGGTGCAAAAATGACTGACAGTGAGGTACTGGAAGCACTATCAATATGCTCAAGAGGGCTAGATTTTGTTTTATGAATCTGAATAAGGGCCACTCCACAGGTGCAGGTAAAGGCATGATGGAATCTAATGTACAGTCCACACAATCATGCCT